ATCTTCAAATGACTCCTTTTGCCAGAGTAAGCTTATTTCAAAAACTTTTTAAAGTAGCAAAACTTTATTTTTTTGTTAAAGGCTAAATTTCTTAGGTATCTGCAATGCAAATAGCCTCAAGATCTCCAGTATAAGTTCTTATATTTCATAATAGGAAGAAACAGATTAATACTCAAAATACCTTTATTGCAGGGTAGAGAATTACTAATTTATAACAGTCCCTAAAGCACAGTTTTTATAGAATATTGAACTTAAACGGCATGCCCACCACACCATCAAAAAACAGAATTAGCTTCAAAAGGAAAAAAGCAGGAATGCCAAGATCTTCAACCACAATTATTTTTAATCTATGAAACAGAGTTTCCTTACAAATTACATAGTCTTTAGAGTAGTGACATTTATCATTGATGTGATTTATGTGTTTAATACGACTGTAGTCAGAAGGGAAGTTGGGCCTGTTATTTTTCCAGAAGTTGAAAAAAGTACCATCATTAAGACAAAGAAGAGAAAGATTTATACCCATCTTTTTGGGACATGTAAGGTGAGAGTGAGGTCTCACAGTTGGAGAATTTGTGGATATTGCTGGAGGAATTGGGATGCTTTCTAGTAAGTGGGTAATCCCTCTTCCTCGAACCCTGCTGTTTTGGCCTGAAATTTTCACCCCAGATGGGTAATCACCTAGGATATTAAAAATATAATAAAAGGAAATGTAGTGATTTTTCTCTAAAGATTACTTTAATTGCTGACTCTCATCCTACTGTATGCCTCTAAGCCTAATTTAAATGGATAATAAAAAGAAGAAATTCTATGTAAAGGCAAAGGCAGAAAAATGTTCCCTTTTGTTTTTAGAGCAGAAAATCCTAATTGAAGTTCTTCAAGCACCACTTGAAATTTTATGTTACTAGCTTTTAAAGTTTCTCATATCCCAAAAGATATATGACCACATCAAAATTATACAACCATAGTGGCTACAATCTTTTTTTCTAATACCTTGAACAAAAGTCTGAGGAATAAGTTATACTCCATGAAAGTGATAAAAAAATGTACATATCAAATTGTATAATGTGCTAATGCAAAGCAAAACACTAATTCAACAAGTTTCCTATATCCTAAAGCTTATCTAGGAACATCTGATGCTCAGTAAGCTGGGACCTTAGTAAGATTTAAGCCCTAAAACCTCTGTGATGTACATTCTTATAAAATTTAAGATGCTTACCAGTGGCTGTGTTTGACCTTTGTTCCTGATTAGAAGAGTGGAAATGGGAGAATCCTGGACTCTCAACCCTTAGCTTCTGTAAAGTAACAGGAAAATACCAGGGGTGGGGGGAAATGTTTATTTCTTATCAAATATTGGATGGTCTACTTCAAATTACTCTTTACAAAGGCAAACTAAGACTCAAATAGTTTTCCTGTGTCTATCAGCTTTTGCTGCAAAAAGAAGGAGAGATATAGGGTACTCTGGAGGGACATTAGGAATTACAGGGTCCTTTTTTTTGGTACTGGTGATTGAACTTAGGGGTACTTAACCACTGAGCCACATCCCCAGCCTTTTATTTTTTTGTATTTTAATTTAGGGACAGGGTCTCCTCGAGTTTCTAAGTGTTCCACTAAGTTGCTAAGGCTGGCTTTGTAGTCAAGATCCTCCTGTCTCAGCCTTCAGAGTCACTGGATTGCAGGCATGTGCCACTGTGCCCAGTAATTCTTTTTTTTTTTTAAAGATGAGGTTGTTGGCCAATAAGATTCAGAACAGAGGGAAACCCTCACAATACAAGAAATAAGAATAAGTTATTGTGTTATGTCCTTGATTAGTAAGAGAATGAGATCTAATATATAAACAGATTGGTTTTAGGTAGAAAACAGACAATCCACTCATTAATACAGGAATGAAAGCAGAGGACGTGGTGGGTGCAGCTAGCATGGGTGGTAGAAATAGGTGGAAAATTTCTCCTGATTGCTTCTATTTCTTAGAGTTTAAGAGGAGTCATCAGGGTCAGCTAGAGAAGAGTTGATGGAAGATACAAGAATGCCAAGGAGAGTAAGAGAGTAACCAAACTAGAGACATGGGTAATAGCCAGGCAACATCAATGGCCCTCTTGAGGTTGGTGGTAATGAAAATGAAGAAAGACCAGTCAGCATACTGGTTTATTTCCAGCCTCATGTAGCTTCACAGGGCAGAAAGAGTTAATCAGGGTTGTTTCTGTCAACCAAGTATGATTAAGAAAAGAGGCCTAATGGAGCTGACAATGTATGCAAGGAATAAGTGACAGACCAGGGAACCTAAGGTAGGACAGAAGGAGGTAATGAGGCTGCATCTTCATATATGTGAAAGGTTCCCTGGGGTTGTGCAATGCATGGTCCAAAGGAGTGTAAAACAGTGGAGGCATAAGTAATTGTATAAGTAACTACATATGTCAAATAATCATTAGCACTAGAGTACCAGAGGAAGATAGTCATAGAAGATCATGTCTGAAATTGAGATTATGAAGAAAATACCTTTGGGGTCTAGGGTCTGATACCAGGAATGGAAACTTCCATGGTGGAAGACACTGGAGGAAGGGAAGTTCAGAAATTCAGAGGTCAGGTAGCTGAAAAGATTACCTATGGGGAAACTCAAAGAAGTTTGACAGAAAAACTGTTTTCCCAAGCCAGTGTTGTTCTAAGAATGAGGACTAACTTAAGTGTATATTGAATCCAAAAAGGGTTGTCAGGTACTCTTGCCTAGACAGCATGAAAGTCAAAGGCCTATAGGTTTTAGGGAGAATGAATGAAGAAGTCTGGAAGTTGAAATCAAGGTCAACTACTTAAAATGCAGGCCCATAATGAAGAAAGGGGAGGATGATGTCATCATTTGAGAAGACTAACAGAAGCAGCGTCCCAAGAGGAAAGTCAGGTTATTTAGAAACAAAAGGGTAAACAGAATTCCTCAAAGAAGTCAAAAGATCTAGGTTTTTCTGGTAGCCCAGGGTCCTTACCTAGTAACGCCCTGCATCCAACATAACCATTTTGGGTGTCACACTATTGCTGGCCTCATAATCTTGTAGTGGTACATGAGCTCCTGTAAGCTGGATTTTAAAGAGAGTGGCCAGGGAATTGCTGATTCAGTACCTTTAAAATGAAGTAAGACAAAAAGCCCACTATATTACTCTCATCCAATTCACTATGAAAGCATTAATATTTTAAAATTCTCAAAAAGCAAGCATCTGAGAGACACTGCTTTTAATCGTGGGGGAAAAAGAAAATTTAGATATTTAGAAATAAGTTGGAAATAGACAGTAAAATTCATATCATAAAAGATTATTACTGGGTAAGCAATCTTCTGATTGCCAGGTTTTATTTTAGGTGTGTTATGAAGGAATGGGAATAAGGTTAAAGATGACTAGGATTCTCTAATGTTTAAGGCAATGAGAGGGCAGAAGCAAGAACAGTTAATCCTCAGAACTCACGACTGCCTGCTAAGTGAAGAGACTAGCAGAACCCTCCAGAGATCCGGGACTCACTATAATAAGGTGCTTTCACTACAAGACGAGAAGAAAGGTCTATGCTTTTGGAGTACCTCCACAAGGAAGTGCTGTCCTTCAGCACTCAGGACTCCAAGGAGGAAAGGTTTCAGTGCAGGCTTCTGAAGATTTACTAAAATGTGTCGTGAGTAGTGACATGAGCAGTAGGACAGAAGTAACATGAACAACCACCTTTTCTTTTTAACAAAAATATAGTAAGGTGGGTGAACAGACCCACCCACCTTCCCAAGAGTAAGCAAAATGGACACCAAGGAACTCAGCACAAAAAGCAGC